GTTGGGGTGGATTCCCAGTATAGTGTCTGAGCAAACGTAGACTCTGCACCAGCGACCACAACTCCCGTGGAAGACAAGATCTCTGGCTCAGTTTCACTTTCTGCGTTTCACTGAAGAATTGTCACAGATTTTATGGCTTTTTGTGCAAAATAGGGGGAAGGTGCATAACCATAATGTGAAGCTTTTCTCAAAGGACACTATTGTGTAATGAAAAATAACAAATTATGAAAACTGTGGAGGCTGGGCTCCGTGACAGCCACTGCCCCTGGTCAGTGGATTGGATTTTTATTTTCATTTTTTCCTCCATACTTCAGATAAACCTGATTGTGTAAAATGAGGACATACCCATAACTGTGGAACTGTTTTTGAAGATTTTACTTGTTGTCATTTTTGCAAGAAATAGGTTTACAAGGTTATGTTGGGGGGGGGGGTACCTGAAGAGATAGTGCAGGGATTAAGGCACTTGCTTGCTTTCTGTCAACCCTCGCCCCACATATGGTTCCCCCAAGCACTGCCAGGGTTCATCACTGGGCACAAAGCAAGGTTTAGCCTCTGAGCACCACTGGATGTGGCCCGATCCCCAAATTAGTTTTTTTCCTTTTGCCATGGGCTGGAGTGATAGCACAGCAGGTAGGGCATTTGCCTTGCACGCGGCCAACATGGCCGACCCAAATTCGATTCCTCTGCCCCTCTCGGAGAGCCCAGCAAGCTACAGAGAGTATCTCGCCCGCACGGCAGAGCCTGGCAATCTACTCGTGACATATTCAATATGCCAAACACAGTAACAAGTGTCATGAAAGAGACATTACTGGGCCCGCACGAGCAAATCAATGAACAACGGGAGGACCGTGACCATGTATCCTTTTGCCATAAGTGTAGTCCTATTTAATATTCCCACCACCCCAAATCTCCATGGGTAAACTGGTCACAGTCTCTGCATGTTCTCCTTTAACTTAAAAATTTTTTAAAAATTTATTGTGGTCAAGGTAACACAGTTCCAATAGTGTTATTGTTTATGGATTTGATGTTAAAAAAAAAGCACTGTACCTTTTCCACCACCACCAACCTACTCAGACCCCACCACTGTCATCTTGTTACTTCTAGTCCACCTCTTCTTCTTTCTGTCTCCCATTTGTGATGCAGTTTAGTAATCTAGGGCCAACACCTTAACATCCTTCCTTTGTTTTGTTTCTCTGCATACCACAATTGGGCAGTTCTATCCAGTATTTGTCCTTCTCCTGGTTTATTTTAGCTTGATAGGGTCCCCTTCAGTTCCATCCAAGTTTTGGCAGACTGCAAGATACATATCTTTTATTAGACTTTTGAAATATTCCGTTGATCATGGATGCTTTAAAGAAACTTGCTAGTATTACATGAAAAAATGTAAAACTTGCTGAAAAAATGTCTGTGGTAGTCACATGGTGGCAGCAATTATGTGGTGAATTATGGTACTTTTCCAGTTCTTCATAAATATGTAACATGAATCAGAAGTAAACCATTTTTAAGTGCATTAAGATTTAGAGGTTATGCAGCATAACCTACTTTAGCCAGATAGAGACCACATATTTTATATTCTAGTATGTTGGGTGTTTATGAATAACTGTTGAGTTCCACATCACCAGAGGTCATTCTTTTCCTAGTTCTTACCCTATTATTTCTGACACCTAATCTGACTTCATGTATTTGGGGACTAGGTACTATAAAATGTTGATCATGTAGAGGTTTAATGAGAAATTGCTGTGTTGGTTATGCACATACTTATCTTGATCTTCATTAGGTTTATGTGTTACTTCATTGGTACTGTAAGCTTCATTTCATGAGACTATGTTAGACCTTCCTAAGGAAAAACATGACCCACAGATCATCCTTATGTATATTTTGGGACAAATTCTAGAAACACACTTGCTGATGAGGACTTAGTTGGACAAATTTCTGTCCAATTTTGAAATTTCCCAAAAGAAGTTAAGCCTCGGGACCATGCGTGTTCAGAGTGACTATAAGGCTGTTCAATTTGTACAAGTAATTTACTATCTAAGTGTCCTGATATTTGACAAAGTTAGTTTCAAAATCTGTGTATCTTAGCAATGCTAGTGCATTCTAGATCTTAAGATTGTAGGGTTATGCAAACGAGATACATGTGAGGATTAATAAAGAACATCGTGTCTTAAGGGAGAATATGACAAACAGCTATGTTTAATATTTATATACTAATATATCATTTATTTATGCAGCACTGTAGCACTATCCTCCTGCTGTTCATCGATTTGCTTGAATGGGCACTAGTAACGTCTCTGTTGTGAAACTTGTTACTGTTTTTGGCATATCGGAATAAGCCACAGGGAGCTTGCCAGGCTCTGCTTTGCAGTAGTGCAAGCTACCGAGGGATACTCTCAGTAGCTTGCACGGCTCTCCGAGAGGGACAGAGGAATCAAACCTTCATATAAATGTTCATTATAATTATATAATATATAAATGTTGGTAAATTTATATTAGGGGCTGGAGCGATAGCACAGCAGTAGGGCATTTGCCTTGCATGCAGCCGACATGGCCAACCAGAGTTCGATTCCTCCGCCCCTCTCGGAGAGTCTGGCAAGCTACCGAGAGTATCTCACCCACATGGCAAAACCTGGCAAGCTCCCCATGATGTATTCGATATGCCAAACACAGTAACAACAAGTCTCACAATGGAGATGTTACTGGGCTCGCTTGAGCAAATCGATGAACAATGGGAGGACAGTGCTACAGATTTATATTAAATCTATAAATGTATTTATATAAATGTTTATTAATTGCTGGGAATCTTCCATAATAGGAATTCTTTTGGCATTAGTTTGGAATAAAAGTTTTGCTGACTTACAGTGCATTGTTTTTCTGTTCTTTCTTGGGGTCAGAGAGGGACCACTCCCTACATATTACCCCAATGCTACAAATAACGTCAATGCTTAGGGGTTAACTCCTGGCTCTGCACTCAGAATCACTCCTGGTGGTGCTCATGGGACCATATGGGATGCTGGGGATTGAACCCGCCTCTGCCTGGTACCACACAAGCTCCTTCCCTACTGTACTGTCTCTTTGCCCCTGTTTTTCTGTTCTTACCACATGATTTTATTTCTAATTTCTTTCTGGAATCAGTAAACTTGTCTTACAGTGAAAACTGTGAGCCAGACGATAGGTTTGAGGGTAGTAGGATTATTTGGGGGGACCTCCCAAGAGGGCCTAGAGCCCTGCAGGGCCTCACCAGGGTTCTTGGCCAACTGAGAAAGTGTTGCCCAGGCACACGGTGCTGTCCACTGCCTGGGCCACCCCCAGTGATGTTGAGAGAGCCCATGTGGTTACAGGAATCCAGCCTGGGCTAGGTGCATGTCAGGGCTGTGCACTACCTCCAATAATATCTCCTGGCCCCTTGGAATCATTTAAAATGCATAGCCCAATAACATTCTGAAAATCAAATAATTTTGTAATTCTTATTCCCATGAACTTGTTTCCATTATATTCTCTAAATTAGTGCTTAGCAAATCTTCATTTATATACCTAGTGTTAAGAATACATGTGTGTTTAATTATTATTAGCACATCCTAACCAATAGGCTGTTTTTATAATTCTTGATATACTTATGATAGATGGATGCATCTGCAATAATTTCAAGGGAATTTTTTCCTACACAAATCTATATGCTGCTCATAAAATAAATGGTGAAATGTACAAAGGATTAGAAAGACACTGCAATCATGGCAGACATGGTTAGTTAGTGTATTAATGTAGTTGATATTCATTAAATAGCTTTGTTTAGTCATTAAGTAAGTCCATGAGAAAATATGTTTGAAGACACATGCTGATTATATATTAGTCACATGTTGAGGATGTCTTTGGGTAGAAGTTATAACAAAGGTGTGGGAATTTTCATTGAAATAGAAGAAAAGGCTAGTTCTAAAACTTGTGGGCTACATGGTGGGACTTTACAGAAATAATAATGCTGGTATTGGACATGGAATAGATTTCATAACTTTCCCTACTTATACTTTTAAAACTATTGGAGACTTTACCACCATACTTACTTTGGTTAATGAGCGAATATTTCGCTTATAGGTATCTAACTTTTATGCCATGCTTCTAATGCTTTGGAAATTTTGGAACTTTTAATGTAAAGCAAAATTTTCTAAACATTTTACAGAAACAGTGGCTATTCAGAATGAACAGTGGCGATAGAATTAGAAGAAGGCTTGGAAATACTCAGGAATACCAGCTAACTCTTTAATCACCGAATTAGGCATGTTTTCTGCATGTCACTTCCTCATCTGCATAACTTGTTGTCTCCCTTGTGAAGAAGAAATGAGCTCAGGCATATTAAGTGCTTGATACAACCGAGGTACAGAATATGAGTTTTAAAAATGTTGAGTATTATGATTATTAAGATTAAGTAAGAGTCATTTTGACAACAGATCACACATTTCCAAAAAGTATTAATGGAACTTCATGGTAGAGCAGTGCTTTACAGTAACGAGGTCCCCTGAGTTTGAGCCCGGCAGCAAACAGACAAAAAAAACTACTGAAAAATATTGAGCATTTAAGATGAGAAAATTGGGGTGAGGGTTTCAGAGAATGACTTCTCCTTTAAGATCTACTTGACAGTTTGAGGAAAATCGAAGGGCGGCTTCCTAGAAGATTGTCACTTGGACATCTTCCAGGCAAATAACTGACAACTCTATTTTGTGGGGGAGAATTATGATATGTTTCTGCTGCTTCCATTTTCAGTGATTGTTGGTGGTGCTCAGTTGATGAATAGCCCTGGAGTGAGCTGTGAGCTCTTACCTGGAACTGTTTACAAACTCTGTTGTGATTACACTCAGTTGTATAATTAATTTATTGATGTTTTGCTGACATGGGTTTGTGTGTGTGTGTGTGTGTGTGTGTGTGTGCAAGATTTGTGATTGCAGATAGATAAGTATTTCTATTCCAGCTCATTATCTTATATTTGCATCTGATTTGTTTGATTACTGCAGGTGGAAACAATAGGTGATGCTTACTGTGTGGCCGCAGGCCTGCACAGGAAAAGCCTTTGCCATGCCAAGCCCATTGCTCTGATGGCCCTGAAGATGATGGAGCTCTCAGAAGAGGTGCTGACGCCAGATGGCAGACCCATTCAGGTGAGCCCTGCGCGCCCGGCTGGGTAGGCACACACCTTTAAGTGAAGGGGCAGGAAAACTCCCAAGGGATTCTGCTTAAGGTAACTCTAAGGTCTAGAGGAGGAAGAGGAGGAGGAGGAGGTTGAACTGGAGACTTCGGAGAACCCAGAGAGGAACACTTGGTAGATGGGTCCAAGAAGGACAAATTTTGTGAAGTGGAAACTGCCATGAGATTAGACCAGATGACCCTGGACTGTTTGGCTAACTGCCCTCTTTTTAGATAAACAACAAAATTTTTTTTTCTATAACCTTCTGAAAATCAGCCTTAAGTGAATGAAACATCCCTCAGTTGTACCTGAGGCCACTACCGGCTCCTCAGGATTACACCTGCACCCCTGGTCGGGTGGAGTCTGGAAAACAGGGGATTAGAATAAGGATGGAACTTACTGGTGGTAACTAAGTACCCAAGGTCAGGTAGTTGAGAGATGTAGTGGGCTCACACTGGTGTCCACGCAAACCCTCTGACCTCACAGAGGTTGATAGGCAGCAGAGCCTGAGGCTGGACCCCCGTTCCTGGGGAAACCAGAGAAGCATTGCTGCTCTGGCACCTGTGGCCTCTGACCACCTTCTGCCCTTGGGATTGACCTTCAGGAGAAGACAGGCAAGGCTGCCTTTTCATTGCTAGAACTAATCCTTAAACACGAGAAGCCTGTTTATGAAAGTGGCCCTGCATTTGGGATAGTCCTCACCTTCTAGCAGGGGTATGGAGTGGGGGTAGGTGTGGGATCACAGTGCATAAACTTAGTCCAAATAATAGACAAGAAAGATCTAGAATATTGTCAGATAGCCAACTTGGGGCCAAGATCTAATGGACAGTGTTTAATATAATTCAGAGAAGTCACTGAGGCTGGTGATGTGGCTCAGTGGTAAAGTGCCTGTCTTGCACGTGGGGGACGCTGGGTCTAACTGCCAGCACCACGGAAACTTCGATTCTTTAGAACTGAAAAAATAGGAGAGGCAAAAAACTGGGAGATAGAGATAGAGTCAAAAAAGAAGCAGAGAAAGCATAAGCAGTGGACTTAATTCTTGGAAATAAAAAGAGAATTCAGTAGATGAGTTTTGGAGGTTAGACACAGCTGAAGCAAAAATTGGTCTCCTGGAGAAATTGTCCATAAATAAGAGTGGGAAAATAGGAATGAAAATGCCAATGTAAATTTTTATCAATGTGAAGGAGGAGTGAGAAGACATATTATATGGCCAGTTGGTGTTCCAAATGGAGCTACAAGAGGGACTCAGGAAAAAAGAACTTTCCCCTAGAAACTACATTAATCAGTTCTCAGACAGAATAATGCTAAATCATTATATAATTCTAATTATATAATTATATAAGGTTTATCAAAGTCACAAAAATGAAATCTTTCTTGGTACTGTAAACTATCAGAGCAAGAGAAGACTTGATAAACACAAAAGTGACCAGTTTACGGGAAAGGATGGGCTATTTAAGAAGAGTTTGGGCACAATTGATTGTCTTTATGGTAAACAAATGAATTTTACCTTATGAGTCTGTTCATAAACTAGAACTCTATATGGCTTAAATGTGAAAGACCATGCTATAAAACTATATAGTTTAATATAGAGAAATTTTGATGTAGAGTAGAATTTTCATATTTTTTGACAAAAAAAATTCTTCTCTTAGTCAATGAATCAGGGCAAAAAAAATCTCATCGTAAAAGATACTATGTATAATTTTAACTTCTTATACTAAAAGGCTGGAGCCATAGCACAGCGGGTAGGGTGTTTTTTCCTTGCACACAGCCAACATGGCTGACCAGAGTTCGATTCCTCCACCCCTCTTGGAGAGCCGGGCAAGCTACTGGGACTATCTTGCCCACACGGCAAAGCCTGGCAAGCTACCCGTGACATATTTGATATGCCAAACACAGTAACAACAAAGTCTCCAATGGAGACATTACTGGGCCCACTCGAGCAAATCGATGAACAACGGGAGGACAGTGACAGTGACAGATACTAAAAGTAAAACCTACTTAGCAAAATATCTAAAGAGAATACAGTAACAACTACAGCTGGAAAAGTTTTTTCATATTTAACCAATATAGTATTTTTGGGGTAATGACACCAATCATAAGATTAATAAGTATTAATAACACTGTGATAGAGCATGCTGCTTTGAAAAATCTGACAGGGCTAGTGTTGGTGAGGGTCTGGAGTAGCTGGAGAGGATACAGATGTACAGATGGCATGCGGTATCTGCGATTCTCTAAAGGAATTTCACTGTGCCTTTCGGGCATCTAGTAATCCTTCTAGATGTTCACCCAGGGAAATATTTGTGTTTGTGTAACAGAAACCACACACAAGATCATTCACCGCAATGCTTTTGTGATGGCTTAAAACGGGAAGCTCAAAATATCCATTGGCAATAGAATGGATAGAGTATAAGGTATTTTTACCTTGGAAGCCCTTCTAGTAGGGCGAATGAATGACTGGCTATTGATTCCAATCTGGATGGCTGTCAGTAACAAAATGCTGAGGAAAGGAGCAGTTCCAAGAACTCTATTAGATGATTCTATTGATTTCAGTTACAAAAACTAAGGAGGAGGGGAGGATTGGGGGGAAGGGTCCTACTTGCACCGATAGGTAAAGTGTAAATGAAAGAAAGTGATCCTGTGCAAAATCCTGCTGGCATTTGCCCCCCAGGGGAATGAACAGTGGGAAGAGTGAGGTTCCACCGGCCTCTCGTACAGAGCACCCAGGGTACTGCAGTTCTTTTTTTTTTTTCCCAGAAAACTTATCTTTTAATTTAGATAAATGTTTTGGTTTCTAAAAATCTATTTTATGGTTTTGAGTTATTCTTAAATTTTTTAGTAAAATTCTTTCTTTTTTTTTTAATTTTTATTAGTGAAACCATGACCCAAGAACAGATGACTAGTTAAAGAAACTTTGGAACATCTACGCAATGGAGTACTATGTAGCTGTTAGAAAAGATGAAGTCATGAAATTTACATACAAGTGGTACAACATGGAAAGTATCATGCTAAGCGAAATGAGTCAGAAAGAGAGGGATCGACACAGAAAGATTGCATTCACCTGGGGAACATAAAGTAACAAAATAGGAGACTAACACCCAAGAGTGGCCAAGATTAGTACCAGGAGGTACTGCTGTTCTTTAATGAGCACCTGCACATTCATAACTCACAGTTTTGAAAATGAGCATTTTCTGAGCACACCCACGTGATGCAAATAGGAACATATAATGCAAATAGTGTGGATTAAACAGCCCTCTGGTTGTCATTCTTGTTAGTTGCCAGAACAAACAAAAGGAAAGGTGTCTCATCTTAGAAGCTGAAAATGGTCACTTTCCAGCTTAAGTTCCTTTCAGTTCTAAATGTTCAAGACTGCAGCTAGGTAGTCTTATTATTTTTTATCGTTGACATTTTTTTAAATGGGGGGTTTATGCTGTTGATGTTGATCCAACTTTGCAAAAACAACCTTAAATTACCAGAGGACAAACCAGGGCATTGTATCGTGAATGTTTTCAGTTGTGGGATATGACAGTACTCTGTTTTATTAATCTGATAGGCTTACTAAATCAGAACAGGAAATGGCCATAAAGATTTAATAAGGGAGCAGAGGAGAAATTCCAAATAATAAAACACGTTAGTAATTTTAACTTCATTACTAATTTACATTACTTGCATGATTGGAGTTTTGGGGGGCATATTAATGTGATTTTGAATTCACTTCCATTGGTTGCCAAAGGAACATTTCTAAATTTAATGGGAAAAATCTTTTATTAAAAATGGTGGGATGTAGGGATGATATGTGATTAGTTAATTGTTAACTTCAAAATAAGTTTTAGACTTGAAAATTTAAGCCATTGGAGTTTTAATTATTTCTCAAAGGAAAATTTCCCATACTCTCTTGAATTTCAAAAAATTGACAATTCTTAATGGGCTTGGGACAGCCTTTCAACATGGGAAATGTTGCTCACAAAAAATAAAGTAACAAAATAGGAGACTAACACCCAAGAGTGGCCAAGATTAGTACCAGGAGGTACTGCTGTTCTTTAATGAGCACCTGCACATTCATAACTTAATAGTAAATTCTAGTTGCTCACAAATGATTTTAATGTTCTGGAATATTAACTAGAAGGCTGATTTAGTTAATTTTTTAATTTGAAAAATTAGTCAGAGAATATAACCTTTAACCTAGTTTATGCTCAAATTATTTTTTCCAGTGAAAATCAGAGACTAGTTACAAAGCATATATAAATATGATCTGCATAATTAAGTCTGGAAAAATAACCCAAAAGTTATTTTAATAAAGATTTCTTTTTAAATAATTACAATTTTATAAGACATATGGCTGTATACAGCAATATCACTATTCTGCCTACCTTCCAAATGAAATATGGAAATATCACTTTGCCTTCCTTCCAGATAAAATATGGGTTTCTTATATTTTAAATAGATAATTTTAAAAAAGTAAAATTAGATTTGTTTGATCCTTCATCTGAATTAGCTTTATTGTATAGATTTTACTGGAAAGCTCTTATATTTCATGCTCTTCTTTAATCTTGTGACTCTAACTTTGAATACATTTTGTCATTAAAACCATAGTAACTTTTCTGAGTTCACACCCAGTGATGATTGAACCTGCTGCAGTTTAGTGCTCTGGGGTTGCTCCTGGCAGTACTCCAGGAATGATGCAGTGCTGGGAATCAAACCCAGGGCTCATATTTGTAAGGCAAGTGCTCTGCCCCCGAGCCACATCCTCTGTCCCATGAAAGACTGAGTTTTCCCCTACTTTAGTTAAAATAAACTAACATGCTTTATTTATTTTAATGTTGGGGGGAAAAGAGAGGTTGAACGGGAGCTGATGAGTGAGTGTTTAAAGCTAGACTAGGGGGCTGGGGAAGATGGCTCAAAGGGATGAGCAAAGGCCTGAACGCTGGAAGCCCTGCATCAGTCGCTGGCACCCACAGGCTTTCGAGGGGCACTACA